TTCGTTCTTAAAGTTACTGACGCCCATGAACCCAAAGTAATGAATAGTTGTATTACAAAGATGTACCAGAGTCCTTTAATAAATTATTGCCCTTTGTGTCTAAATATAGATCTGCCCTTACGTTAAATAGATATAATAGCTCTATAACTGATTGATATTTCATTATTTATCATGCATGTGAAGACACCAATTAATAGTCGCCGGCTAACCTATCAACGTATAGATCTCAATATGAAGTAAAAGTGATCGATGTTTTAATCGGGGTGTTTGTTTTATATATCTGTTTCATTGTTATATCGATCGGGTGCCCGCAATACATTAAAGGAGCTAAACTTCTAACTCAATATTAAGAAATTAAATATGTGATACTACTAATATTTAGGGTACAATCAACTTTTTATAATCAGTACACTAGTCGTGTATTGTATGGTTTTAGGCATCATTTGTAATGAACAAAAGACAGCGTGAAAATAATTAGTAACGGTGGATTCACAAACGACAAAATAATAATAAAAATCGTGTACATTGTAGAATGAACAAAGCAGCTGTACGCGAGTGTCATTCAATTTTGACCGTTCATTTATTTCACGAAACCTAATTGATTAGCAATTACAATACATTTGTTTTAAAAATTGAATATAAATCAGTTAATATGCATTCATATTACTTGTACATCAATATGTGCTTTTAGATCCGTTTTCGTCAATTTTAACATTCCAAAGAATAGAACCATGCGCCGTTAAACTGCTTAACCATAATTTAAAGATGCATTATGTAAGAGCATGCCAAGAACTCGCCGTAACAGACCAGTTCATTGGCTAATTCTTCGCATCAACTAGAACGCCTGTTATATAACAACTCTTCCTGATTCTAGTGTTGTGAAGACAAGTAAAACAAAATTTTGAACTATAAAAAAAGGATCTGTGTTTTAATCAGATTGTATTTTGAATTACATAATATGGGGTCACCAAAAACTTTTAATCCGATTCTGCATTGAACTCGTTGCAAAGGGCGGGGGAGGGGGATCACGTAGCTAGGTGGGTAAGACGCTGGTCGGGTGTTCGATCCCTGCATTAGCCGAGAAAGTTCATCCGGCGTGGTTCCCCCTAGTCAGTGATGCAGGACGGAGGGCCTGCCAAGGACAGCTGTCTAGTCGTTCGGATGGGACGAGAAACCGAGGTCCCGTGTACACATGGCGTGCACGTAAAAGATCCCATGGCAGTTGGAAATCGATATAAGAGTAGGCCGTAGTGCCGCTGTCCGGGCAAAATTTCCCTCATAGCGTATGCCCCTCTTCATTAGCCCAGTTCAGAGCAGAACAGTAGGACGTTAAACCTCATTTCATTTCATTTCGTTGCAAAGACTGCCGTCTTACTAGGAGAATCAGCCCCCTGTATTAGCGTAGTGATTTGACTTTAGGTTTTCTAGAACGGGGTCGGTCCTTCCAAACATTAGCATGCCCAGACGGCTGATGACTGAGATGGAAGTCCATTTAACGGCGAATATCTTAAAGGGGACATTAGGTCAGTGTACTTACTTTAGTTTGAAAAAAGGTGAGCGGGAGATGTTGCATGTGTCAGGTGCTTGGTTAGGAAACATTGCAGTCACTCATGAAAATCAACCATCTGTGTTTAAGATTATTATTATTAAAATTATTACGATGAAATTCGAAAGTAATTACGACATAATTTGGTTCATTTTATCTGGGAGTGCTTAATTTTTATTACAGGTGTATAGTTTAAAAATGTTAATATGTTGAAAATTAAGGCCAAATTTCGTTAATCCGAGCAAAGTTACGAATGTTTGAAGTTTTAACAAGAAATAGTCTCGATTACCAGGTACCAATGTCAAGATAATAAACGATATCTGAGCTGTCGTGTGATCTAGAGTGTTGATTAAGACCTTGTCGTGTGAATTAATGTCTAAATCTCATTTCTATAACATTTGAAGTCAGAAAAGAAATGAAATGTGCACCCTTATCTCTTACATATTGCCTCTTTAATTGGCCATGGATATGTGAGTTTGGCGGGTTGTAACCAGATTTACTTGAAGTATACAATATTTACTGGGTTTCAACTGTACTTTTACACTGCCAAAACTATGTATATCCAGTTTTAATATTTTTTGCCGTACAGCTTCCATGTATAATTTGTATACTTGGTAGCCAAAAAGGAATAAGATCAATTATATTTATCCAGTTCCACCCATTCCAAATGTATTTAAAACAATCGCAAGTTGGTTTATTTCTACATAACAGACCATCAAAACCAATTTAGGATGTCACTGACACCGGGGAAGTTGACATTGGCTATAAGTTAGTAGAACTGAGTGCATTTTGTTGCATTCTGGAATTTGGCTTCTCCCGTTCTTTGGTTTTTATACGAAGGGAGACAACTCAATAATATCAAATGGACTAGTAATTATAACAATTTATTCCCTCTAATAACCTTTGTATTTCATAGTTGGGGCTGATACACGATCGTATATGTATTTGTTCGTGGGTTACAGTTTATTTCTTGTTTCCGTTGCTCGATTGCTTCCCATTTGATGTTAAATTTCGATTAACGATTATACTGCGAAATACCAAGTAAACCATTTGCTATAAGAACACCTTACAAAATATTCTAAACTGTAAAGTATAGGCTCGAACCATTTTCGTCTTCGGAGATGTTAATTAATAGTCTAGATTGACCAGATGTTGTCTCTGTCAATAATATATTTTGTACACTTTCACAGGTATTTTCTATCGTTTTTTTTCCTAACCAAAGATACGAGAGGACTGCCCCCACTCCCGCATGTAATAACGGGGGTCGGGCTTGGGTGGGGTGTTAACATCTAATCCACACTAAGATATATATTTATTACAATAATTTGATTGTCCCAGATTTTATATATCAGTGAGCTTAACAATGTAAGGCGCTCTTTGCTTTTACACTACACCGTTCTTTTTGCAACAAATGACATTCTAAGTGCGCGAGAAGTCGACTTCCTAGGGTTGACACATGGCAATTTTAGATACATTTGATTGAAATTGTGAAAATCTAAATGACAGAGAAATCTTCGAATGACAGGTTAAGTACAGTGTCAGGTAAGCTAGCATATAATTAATAACCCAACATGGGAAAACTTTGAAAATGGTCACGGAGATGTTTGACATTATTATTCAAAAACACTTAAAGGAGCAAGTCGCTAACTCAATATCATCCACAGTCTTCAATATCATCCACAGCCAATTTAAATCAACATTGATGTTGTTATCTTACCGTGAAAAGGTGGGCTACTGATGTCCAATATTTAAGACAAAATGGAAATTTTAAAATTGGCACACGAATCGCTTTCCAGAATGCGCTCGAGCGTCATTTGTAATTAAGTCACTCGATGAACGAGGCTAATCATACCCCGCAGAGGAGAATACTAAATTGGCACACGAATCACGTCCCGGAATGCTCTCGAGCGCCATTTGTAATTAAGTCACTCGATGAACGAGGCTAAACATACCCCACAGAGGAGAAAACTAGCGGTGTAGGCTGGAGTAACCAGACGCCAAATACTGCCATTAAATTTGGACTCTTCGCGTAGTTCGCCGAACGTAACAGATTAGAAATTACAATAAAAGCAGAAACGATTGAATGTAAGTCAGTTTATATACATATACATTCATATATCATTATTATATGCGTTGCGACCCATTTGTGTCCATTTATAGTTTCCGAAGAATAGAGATTTTGCTCCTTTAAGGTATAAATTCTAAACAACCACAAATACAGTTTATGAATATCTACAGGAAATAGGGACCATTTGTATTCATTAGCACCGATAGCGTATCGAGGATCCGCTTGTCTGTGGGTGTGTGGGAGTCTTTGTCTTATCCCGAGGATACATACATGATATATATTTGCTTCAAAACGTTATGTTGTTATATCTCGTAATCAGAAATTTATTCTTACACAATCAAACCTAACCTAAATAACACGCACCACCTGTTAGGTTGTGCCCCGACCCCAAAATAAATATCCAACCTCGTGGGTTTTCTCCCACTGCTTAAGACCCCTATGCGCAAGCGAATTATTAAAATAAAATAAAATTTATTCTTACACAATCAACCCTAACCTAAATAACACACACGACCTGTTAGGTTGTGCCCCGACCCCAAAATAAATATCCAACCTCGTGGGTTTTCTCCGGGTCCTCCGGTTTCCTCCCACTGCTAAAGACCCCTATGCGCAAGCGAATTATTAAAATAAAATTAAAAGATATGTTAGTCCCGAAATGACCTAGTTTGTGTCGAGTGGACGTTAAACCCCATTTCTCTCTCTCTCTCCAAAATAAATAGATGGCACACATCAATTACTTAGACATCTATCAAATGGCTTACACACACAGTAACTGCCCATTATCACGCATAGTCAGGACATTATAATCAACATCTATATCATGTTTGAACATTCTACCTCAGTTAGGAACAGTGTTTGTGATGAAGATCCCATGATCACAAAAAGCAACAATACACCCTATTTCAATGAATAAATAAAGCTACTAGATTGTTTACACATTTTTTTTTTAATCTTAATAAACATCATCAACAATTTTTGTTACCATGGACATTTAAGATACAGTAATAATGTACAGTTATCAAATAAAACTCTTGAACAAACTTTTGTTATCTAGATAAATGTGGAAATGTTAGTTATTATTTTGCATGAAAGAAATAACGATTTCACAAAATTTAAAAATAATCTGGTTGTATAGAAATTACTTCTTATTCGTCGGTTTGACGACCCCAATGAAAAGAATCCAAAACGCGCTTTGCTACATCATTACCATAAGTGGGTTCTTCTGGATAAGCTTCTCCGGCATCCGATCGCTTTCCGTAGCGGAAAAGGGTTCTTTTTGGTACCCATGTGTTTTCGCCTCCTCGTCCAAATCGAAATAGTGTGCCTCGTTTGCCAAATCGGAAAAGTGAGCTACGTTTACCAAATCTCAACAGACTACCTCGTTTACCGAATCTAAAAAGGGTTCCTCGTTTCATTTCTTCATCAAGCGGCTGACTCAATTCATTGTATGGATAGTAGATTTCATCTATGGTATCAATATTATCATCATATCCTGACCTCTTGTTTTGATGTATAGGACTATCAGCTGACATGGCATTAGGTACTGCAATAACGAAGAAAGGAAATGATTAGCTTTAAATAAAACACATATTTAAACCACGTACAGTTTCGGAATCTAAAATCAAAAATTCGTATCGCTGTATGGGTCCATCCAGTAAGACACAGTAGATAGACCAGCGTTTAAGCCACAAGAACTCGCATGGGGATTTCGTCGTACCCCCCCCCCCCTCCTATTCCACCGTGTGGCATTGCAAGTAAATGCAATGATCCAAGCTGATGTTCGCCGACGAACTTGCGTGTGCCGCTTATTCACAACTCAATGCCATTCTGTCTTCTTATTTATCTAACAGTGAAACAGGGTTCGTTTCACCAGAGCGGGAGAGAAGATAGTTTACCTTATAAGAAGGCCTATATAATATTCTCAAGGTTATTGAAAAAGAAAAATCTCGATGATTCATGATGGCGACGGCGATCACTTGCTAGTTTTTGAAAAAAAATATTCCTGATTTAGTGAAGCGGACAATAAATACAATAAGTCAAACAACGACAAATGGGAATCACACTAATAAGTTTGCTAAAAGCACATATTGATTTTGAACGTGTTCATACAATTTACACATCAAATAGACACATATTAAGGTGTTAGTTTTATAAAATAACATGAAAGATGAAAAAGAAACAAATAAATTATCCGTCCATTAGGCTAATAATCAACTTAACAAGAGAATTGTAGAGGTATAGATATTCCGTTATAAGTAATCTATACTTAGTCGTGCTGACTGGGTATTTAGTTTGTGTAAATTAACGGAATAAACATCGCTGAATCGTTTTAACTGTTGATTGCGCCAAATTTCATATACAAGAATAATAATTTGCAATGGTATTAGCATTAGAATCTAATTATATGTAATCGATATCTTAGGTTGTTAAATGATTAATTTGTTTTAAAATAATTGGATAAGTCTAACTGAAACCTTGTATCTATCTATTTTCAAAGTATTTCGCCCTAATATCCAACTAAAAGTGATTATATAAATATATTTAAAGAAACTGAAATTTCGACGAAGGGAGAATACAATATGATCAATGATTGTTACTTAAGCATAAAATTGTTACAAAGAGGATGTTTGTTTTGGGATGTGTTCGACTTTTCAAGTACTTTCTTTGTCCCTAAAAGGATAAGACTGAACGCCAAGAATGACCAAATCGATCCCTTTATAAAAAAAGACGATTTACATCAAATATTTGTGTTGCTAAAAGGTGATGATATATATTCCACCAGTTGAAGCCAATATTTATCCACAATGATAAAGTTGATGATCAATTCTTAGTCTTTTAACATTGATTATTATAAGTCAAGAATCGAATTTAATGTCATATTCGTCACTATGCAAAAGTACAACACAATTTATAAGCTATGTGTACTGAAATAAATGCTATAAGATGTTCTGGCATTTTCAAATGTTTTAATCTTATTTTTATCGGTAGCGGAGAGCTTTATTCACTTTGATATTCTGGACTGTCTTCAATGTATTCATTGTTTATTTATTGTTCTGTTGAACAGGTGGGCATCATTGTCTACTGGAGTTGTCTTTAATAAAACATATTATTGGATATAACATGGTTGGACCATTTTCCTAACTATATGCTTTTCCTGTGCATGTCATAATGTATAAAGAAAAATCTATATAATAGCTTAAATTGCTATGTTTGACGTTAGACTCTTTAACAGCGCTCGTGCTAATATTTATTTTTTTCACTAACTTAATGTTCATACAATCTTTACTAATTGGTATTGGCTAATTTTATATTTGCTCTAGTAAAAACATTTTTAGAAATTACATAATTCCATATAACGTGTTACAGAATACAGAATCGAGTGTGAGGCGAAAGCTGACTCTGTTGAAAGTAAATATTTGTTCACCGGATACTAGGGAATCCATAGCCAGAAGCCAGGAATATAACCATTGTTTCGTACAAAGTAGATACGTCTGAAGAATTATGTACATATTCCCGTAATATTGAGTAGTTTATAAAGCTATTGCCGTGCTGATGGGCGAGAGATTTTAAAAAACTTTATTATATTTTGCGAATTCGAATGCTCAATTGATTAGATACAATTCAAAATGTTCATAGAAACCCACTGTTTGACTATAGTACAACACATCTCTAAATGAAATGTAGCAAGTTTATTTCCTTAAAGTTTCAGTAATGAGTTTAGTGTTACTCACGCAAAATGCACCCACCCACAATTGATAATAATTGTCAATAATACTTGTCAATTAAATATTGTTGGTATGCGTGACATGGAGACATTCAGGAGTTCCAAGATCCTCGGTGCTCATTCTATGTCATAAACTATCACCTAGTGCAGTCATTTGATGTATTTTTGCAAGACCGATGACCGACTATTATAGGGCCATTATAGACAATTTGACATCAAACTGGCATCAAAAAGCAACAGCAACTTGACAGATGTTCTTAACCTTAACGGTATAATTAACTTGACAGTTGTTATGTTATTTCTCTTCGAGTAGCAAAAATAAAAAATTACCTTGTTCTGCATTTTTACTACAAATAACACCCTGTACAGCAAACATCATGACACATAGAGAAACCAGTATACATTGACAGTATTCCATTGTAGTGATAAATTCTGAAATATTCAAAAATACAAAATATTTTTTAGCATAGCTCAGGTGGTAGTTAAATGTAGACGGTGCTCAGTTTCTCAACCTTGGAAAGTCAACATGGAATGAAATGAAATGGGGTTTAACGTCCTACTGTTCTGCTCCTAAACCGGGCTAATGAAGACGGGCATACGCTATACAGTGGCTATGAGGGATATTTTGCCAGGGTAGCGGCGCTACGGCCTACTCTTATATCGAATTCCAACTGCCAAGGGATCTTTTATGTGTTCGCCAATGTGTACACGGGACCTCGGTTTTTCGTCCCATCCGAACGACTAGATAGCTGTCCTTGGCAGGCCCTCCGTCCTGCATCACTGACAAGGGGGAAACCACGCCGGAAAATCTAGATGAACTTTCTCGGCCAATGCAGGGATCGAACACCCGACCTCCAGGCTGGCGAGGCAGCGTCTTACCCACTAGCAATCGTGATCCCCCAACGTCAACATAATATATCTTAATAATTGAATAAGTATATTACAAAGACAGGATGCTTAATCTGTAGGAATGAAGTTCCAGTCTGCCAAGTAAGGAGCGGTTAATTTGACCGCATTCATGTTGTCCGACTTGTGTAATAATCATTTTAAGCTAGTGAAGATCACGACCTTAATCAAAAGTAATTCCAACAATTGCTGCAGTGTTATTCAATCTGTTTGAAAACACTTCCAAGTATTTTGACGTCAATGTTATTTCATTTATTTGAGCATCGTGTATTTGTGGGGTTTCGAAAAATATTGTTTACGTGTTCATGGGAAGAACCATTGGCTTTTAACTATAGCGCAATCGCTCGTCTACACGAAGCTCTAGGTTTTCTTACGAAACGGAAATTACGTATCCGGATAAATATTTGAAGTCTATACAGGGTAACGTTATCTTTATGAAACAGTCGGAGTTCGGCAAAAGGAGCACACGACTGAAACGTCCAAGCACTTTAAGGTATTCACTTATTAGATTCTTCTGCAGCGATGCGTTGAGACCCGAGGATGTGTCGTGTTACTAACAAAGTTATATTCACGCCTTCATTCTCTTAATTGAATTAAATTGACATAGATATAGATCTAGTGAACCGGAGTATTACATTTGACGCTATTTCGGTTTTTTTTCTAAATGAAGCCATCTTCTATCGCAAACACTTTGTAATGTATTCGTTAACAGACAGTCACTTCTCGCAATTATTTGTGTCAGGCTCGTGGACAACCATTATAGAATACCTTTTTCCAGAAAACAAGACACGGGGGCCTTTTGGTGTATGTCAATGGTGGGTTTAAATAATAAACTGTATCAACTCCAGATACAGTGGGTGTGACAACGACTCTGTTCTGTAAGGAGGTCTCATGTTTGATCACGGTGTTACCGGAAGGTCCTCTAGTTTTGCTTTGTCAATGGTAGAGGACGTTCAGTATGACAGGAGGAAAAACGCACAGTCGTGCCGGTAGGGCGAAAAGCCGAGGTTCCGTGTGTGCAATTGCCAACACGTTAAAGTTCACGGTTGGAAATAGAGTAGTCAATGATAGAGCTACTGCCCAGGCAAATATTCCGTCATAGAACAATGCATGCTATGCGCGTTTTCATTAGCCCCGTTGGTGCAGAAAAGTAAAACATTAGACCCCTCTTCACTTCATTTCATACTGCTATAGTTATATCACCACCGAAATAAATTCAATTAGTTAGTCCACGTATCTGTGATTTTCAGAAATTGGTCGATTATCTTAAACCGACCAAGAAGTCCATGTGCTTTATTAATATGTCTAGCCAATTTTCTTAAATACATGATGGAAATGGACCGTGTTACATCTTGTGTGAAAAATATGCTTTAGCAGTTGACAATTTTATTTAGGAAGAGAATAAATGAAAATAAGTTAAACGACCAAATCAGACCAATTTCACTTTTGTGGAAACAGAATGTGTGCCTTACGAACGTGTCTAGTGTACAATTTGGACCACTTAAAGAGATTTGGTGGTGCTACCAGAATGTCTGTAATACTAATAACATATGCTAACAAATCGACTTAAATTTCTTCCAAGCTATCAATTTCCTCTCAACGCTGTCGACAAGTGAATGTGATTTAAGCATCATTGTCAGTGTTTTCATCAGAGAGTAATCGAATTACTATAACGAGTTGTTCTACCGATTGTTGATTTGTCGAATTCCCAGGACTTCAATTTGGCCAATTCTGATCGCATCCGTCTACACGTTTTATTCATCTCACGTTAATGTGCTTCCATACCTCGATGCCGCATCTCAGTTAACTGGCTATTTGGCTTGGGACTAACGAGAAAGCGAAACGACTTTACTTCCGCTCTAAATGGAAGATACTGTTTATCAATTTGTTTTCAAGTAACCCCTACCTTTATAAATAAATCAATGAATGTTTTTTTGAGCATGAGTAACTTTGGTTTAAATTAAGGCATCACCATTGCACATTACTCTAGCGACCTATAATATTTTCAAAGACAGGCTTTTAGTGTTTATGTGTCTTTGACGATTCCTGGGCGATAACACGGTGATTCCACTCTTAGAAAAATATCACTACCGGAATGATGCTAATGATTTTGTTTGTTTTCTAAAATAAAAATCCGATAAAAATAACTACACGATAGGTTGTATTTGTCTAAATTGCTGCACTAATGGCGATAATCACTGTATTAAAAATATTTATGATTCCTTACGCACACTTTCCCCAATATAGAAACATAAACGTGCCATAATCTTCGCGTAAAAATAGACATTTCCGAGGGTGTAAAATAGCAATGTTATTTTAAACCTGATAGAAAGGCTTATCTAATTAAAAGTCATTGCTGTAGATCTAGTTTCAAGAATTAAAGTTAAAAGCTATTATAGGTTATATAAAAAAATGAGTAGATATTGTAATTAAATCGCTTAAGCCTTTCGTAACCCTTTATATATCTCAGATTTATGACATAAATATAGATATCTTTTTTCTGGTTTTAATGTAAAAACAACTTTCCAATATCCCACATTACATAAATTGCCCAGATATTTACCGATATATGCCAGTATAGTCGTTGGGCGTGCATCCATGGATAGACTTCGTCTTTATGATCAGTCTTTACTACAAAGGTTCGATAAAATGGCTCAAGATATTCGGATATTTCTACAACTTTAGATGTACTATATTATTTTCTATGGCTATCCGTCGAAATGAATGTCGTAACAGTATGGCAGGTCCCTTTGTCCAGCCACCATAAGGCAGACAATTTCGGAAATGTCCAGAAAGTAGTAGTCCGTTTATCCAAGTGCATGAAGAATTGCTGGCTACGAGAGAGATCTAAACTAAGTTACATTACAATAGATCCGTAAAAAGAGACAATTTCACATTTATAATTCAACCCATTACGATATTATCTATATAATTATTCAAACAAAAAACTTCAAATTTTATCATAAAATTAAGGACAAGAATTTAATATTAGGTTAGAATCAATCTCAGTGAATAATGTATATTCGGGATAGGCAGGAAATCTTAGCTTGTTGATGCAATATTATCCAAGATGTGAATGGAAGTTATGTTAATCACAGGAGTGGTCATATCAATATTACGTTACATCGGTAAACAATGTATATAAAACACTATTTTATCTCGTTCAGGGTACCCTAGTTGAGTGATAGGGTAGCGGCTCTCGGATACAATGTCATGGATTCAATCCCGGTTTCCACTTGTTACAGGGGTGGTACATGTAGGACACACTGGGGTCCACGTAATACAACTATTGGCAGAGAGTGCGTAGTATTTCACACGTGACCATGGGAAAAAATGACCGGAATATTGTGCTGGTGAAACTCCCCCCTTATCTTTCCTTAAGTCCCGATCAAAAGGGTCGATTTAGCCAGAATATAGAAGCGGTTACGTTTTGATGGCCATATCAGAAAACCATTCCGTATCACCACTTACCCATTCTACCTTTTTATTATTTTGTCTTCTATATTCATATTCAACAACATATTTATTTTCCTAATCCACGTCAGTAATAACGATATTACTTCTATAAATCTCTTCGCAGACTTTATATCACCAAATTCAAATAATGTTTTTCATTATTAATCCCCCCCCCCCCCCCCGCAAAAAAAAAATCCTATTCTCTATACTAATATTAAACGAAACCATTCAAAGTATTGATACGGCCCGGATCTTGGTAATCCAAGCCATTAATAATATTACTTTTATGAGACTTTTACATCACACAATTTTAAGCTTCTTTGGAGAGACGTTCGTCTTTATTTTCAAAGGAGTATATTATACATATCAGGCGATAGATGAAAGGATGGTAATTCAGTAAAAGGTTGTTGGTAAAGGCCTTTATAGAAAACTAAAATACTGTTTTTTAAAAATGTATAGAAAGTATAATTCGGATATCGAGATGAATTCCAAACTGCCCACTATACACCTTGGCTAAAGTCAGCACTCTTATCAAAGTAAATCACAATTTTCCCGATATAAATGCACTTTGTCCGCACCGCAGTTTCTGGTACGAAAAAAAGGCAAACGTATATAGCCTTAGAAAATGTGATAAATTGAACAACAGCTTGCATTATGCGCGATATTAATCTTGTACAGAGACCAAAGGCACTTATTCATTTACATTTTGTATTATATATAGCTGTATATGGCTTCCTTGTTAAAGTAATCTCCATGAAGGCTGCTTATCTGTACATTACACCCTGTTCATTGTGTCATTCAACGACATGGATATATTAATGCCATGACTCAATGGAAGCCCCGGCAAGTTTTGATCCATTCAAAAAGGTTTTCCAGAAAAAAAAATTTTCTACAGGGATAAATATTTGCTTTACTCGTCCACAAATTTTAAGATAGCTAACATTAGATGTGGGGGGAATAACGTATATACCATCACGACGACCTTTAATGAACAGAGTATGCGTTAATGACCAAGTCATGACGCATACGCGAATCAAACTAATTATTGAAATCCCTCCACTCTTAAAGCA